AAAGAGCGAGAAGGTGAGGGGGAAAAGGCGCGTACCTCTATGGCGGAAGAAGCGGAAGTGGCGCCGGACCAAGCGACGAACCAGGTGTGCGGAGGGTGAGTGGGAGAGCGAAGCTCGAGAGCGAGAAGTTCAGGGAGCGGTGTCGAGCGTTTGGAGTGAAGCGTTTGGATTAGAGAGAGGGGAAGGGATACGAAACAGGAGTCTATGCCTCCCACCACCTTCACCTCTAACTCCATGGGATGGCTGGGGGTTACGCGATTATGCTGCAACTAGCAAACAATTGCAGTGTCGCAACACGAAAACAGATGAACTCACTTTCACTTTCTTATTACCATGGGCAAAAATATTAGAATGAACAAATCTGTTAACCCTTGCCTTGTCTTATACAGGATTTTTTTTTCCTAGGTTGAAAATAAATTTATTATTAGATATTTTATTAATATTTTTTACACTATTTTAAAGAATGATTAAAATATCAGCTTTTTAATATAATTTTATTGATGTATTATTTTTTTAATATATATCAATTTTCAACATAATAATTAATATTTTTATATGAATTATATAATTACCTTTACTTTAAAATTGTAATTGTAATATTGTAAGTATTAATTATTTGATTTTTTTATATAATCATTATCTTTATGGTGTTCGAGGTGTGTTGTGAAATTTTAAGAGTAGACGATTTTTCAAAAGTCTAGTTAATTTTAAGGTAGTCTTTGACTGAGGGTTCAATTGACCTTAAAAAGAAGAAGTAAATAAGATTTTTGTTGAAAATTGAGCTTCACAAATTCATGTTCTAGAGAGATAATTTAGAGAGAGGTTCTTTGGGTTTGTGGATTTTTTTCTTCTCTAAATTTTCTCTCAATTTGACAATTCTTTTTCCAGAATCATTAATGTGTTTATGTACTTTGATTTTGGTCCCTAGTTAGTTAAACTCAAAGTGTTGGGCTGGTGCGGAGCATGTGTGCTTGGAGCTTAGAAACACATCTTCTCCTTCCTTCTTCATTCTCAATAGCTTGGAGTTGAGGTAAGAGAAGTTAGGATATATTGGTTGGTTAATTTGATGAATTGTTATTGTTGTTTTCATCAAATGTGAGCTTGTATGTGGCCAAATTCAAATTGAATGGTGAAGGAAAATAGTTTTGGAGTTGAGTTATGAAAGTGATTATGAGCAATTGGGATTACATGTGCATTTTTTACTTGGAATTGGATTGTTTGAAGTAGTTATTTACTTGTATATATGTTGCATGTTGGAAATCTTTGTGTTTAAGTGGATTGAGGCAATTTTTAAAGTCTACAATTGTAAATTTCTAATATGACACTAAGTGTGCCTTCATGGCACTGAGCGTATTCCAACCAGAGGTCTCCATCTCAATCATGTTGAGCATAGGATTGGTAGCACTGTGTGTAGAATTGGTGGCATCGGATGTGAGGAGAGAGATTCATCTTAGGTTGTGATGGCGCCAAGTGTGAGATCATTGAAAAGTCTCTAAGTTGGTGTCATTGGGCCTAAAATTGAGCAGCGCTAAGCGTGATCAAGGCAAAGACCTTCTACCTAAACGACATCATGTGTTGATGAGGTGCCGCCGAGCATGAGTTAGGCAGAAGCTCTCTACCTGATATGAGACTAGGCGCGAATTTTGCCACATCGAGTGTGAGGTTTTAGAGGTTCCCTACCTCAGTCACGTTGGGTGTGGGTTGAGTGGTGTCGAGCATGGGTGAGGTAGAGAACTCCCTACCTCAATGGCACGAAGCACGAGATAAGTTACGTCAAGCCTGATTTGTTTTGATGATATATGATGTTTAATGGGTGAATTGATGAACATAAATAGAGTAATTGAAGTTATATATATTGATTTGTGATGATATATGTAGACGTTGTATGATGTATTAGGATGATGAGCATTGGTATGCTGTAATAATATGATTGAAATTGGTGATGAGTATTGATATCGTTGGAGAAAAAAGATACACGCTAGAAAGGGGGTTGAATAGTGTATATCAAAAACTCACGTTTTTAGTATGCAATGAAATAGCAGACGCCATGACAGATGAAGTACCGAAATTCAATCAAACGAAGGGACACAAATATTTCAAACCGGTTTGTCTCAAACACAGAAACTACTTCTAGTTCTCAATCTAACCAGATTGAGTTTCACTATCTTTTTCAAGATACAAGTATTCTTTCACAAGTCACTTCTAGCTTAAATCTAAGTAGTCTTTGACTTGCTTTTCCAAGCAATTACCCAAATATTCTTTCAACAAGCCTCTCCAAGCTTAGACCCAAGTATTATTTCCACAAGTCTCTCCAGGCTAAACACCAAGTATTCTTTCTACAAGCCTCTTTAGGCTAAACACCAAGTATTCTTTTCACAAGCCTCTCTAAGCTAAGCACCAAATATTCTTTCAACAAGCCTTTCTAGGCTCAAACTCAAGTATTCTTTTGAACAAGTCTCTTCAAGCTTAACCCTTACAAGTAAGTTTGACAAGAGTTATAAGGATAATTTCGTCTCTTCTAGACGTGATGCTATGAAAATACAGTACAACTAGACTACAAATAACTATGTACAAGATTTACAATAAAGAGTTTTTTGTAGTGCTTCAGCTTTGTTCTCAAAATGTTTGATCAGAGTAAATTGTTGAGTGAATGTTGATCTTGTTATTTACAATGCTTTTCTTCGTATTTATGTGTTATTCTCTATTCTCTTTCTCTTTTGGTGTTTAAAGGTTTGATCCTTATATAGTAGCTTCAAAGAAGACGATCGTTACAGCAACGTTGAGTTTGAACGTTTAAATTTCTTCATAAGTTACTTCATCTATCTTCTTTACTGATCCTAGAGATTTCAGTGAAGAGTGTATCTCTCAGCTACTTATCATCATTTCCTTTTGAATTAAGCATAACAGAAGTAGTGTCAGAGCAAAGCAGTTGAAGTTGGCGTAGAGCAGTCTTTTTTAGTGTTTTTTTATGATATCCAAGATTTTGCTTTTTGCTTTTCACAAACATTTTGCCTTTTTCCTCTTTGATGCACTTTGAAAGTTTTGAAGCTTCTTTTTGTTTGAATACATTAAATGAAATTTAATGTTAGTATCTCATAATAGTGTTCATTTAATGTCATCAAACGAATTGTGTGCTTCATCTGATTTTTTTCATTTTATAATGATATGTATATATTATTCAAACATTTTGTTTGATATGCTTTGTCTTTGAAGAATGTTGACTTTGCTTAAAGAAAATCTTTAGTTTGTCATCATTAAAACTTAATTAAGGAATTGTCTGTTGTCTTAAAGCAGGATTTTTGATTTAATAGATATGTTGTGTGAGATTTATATGTTATAATTGCATGGTTAGAGTGGTGGATAGACATTGGTATGTTAGGTATGTTTTGATCTCTATATACATTGACCTAGGATAATGTATATAGATAATGCATGTTGAGGCGTTAATATTGAAAATGTTATAAGCATTAAAGCATGTTGATTGGCTTAGGACTAGAGGAAAGGAGGTCGTTGAAAGTTGAATATCTCATATAGGGAATTTTGTTTTGGTACTCTAGGAGACCAATTGTTGAAAACTCTCCTTAAGTAGGCGTGAAACTCTTGGAGTGAATTTTATTGAGTCTCCTCTAAGTCTTTAGTCAATGTAGAGTAAAGTATGATGTTAAGGGTTATCACCCTTAACTGATTATTGAAAATGTTGTGTGGTTCCTTATAGATAGTTAACTCCATATGTAACTTAGTAATGCATGTCAAAGTCTTGGTACACCTATACCCAACTATACTAATCTTAACGATGGAATTGTACTTTCATAGTATAAGTGGAGATACTTATGAAATCAGAAGTGGGGATTGATATTCCATTTTAGTTGTTGATCTAGCGATGCATTAGGCATGGAAGTTGTCAGGTTGGTTTAGTAGGGTCAAACCACTTAGACAACTCTGGTGTATTAGGAGATATAAGTAAATGTGTGACGATGCATTAGATATAGTATGATGTAGTGTGAGTTGATTGTGTTCATATGCACAGTGTGAATGCCTTGTTGTGTGGTATAATTGTGGTGAATGTTAGACTTGCTTTAGTGTTTTAACTTTCAAACATGTCAATCATTGTGGATGTGAATCTTGTGGTGTACTTACTTGATTTGCATGATGATGTGGAGTACATATGTTTTATTCCTATACTTGTATGTTTTTTAAAATCTAGCTTACCCTTACATGATTTTCATGTGGTTTGGACTACTATAGTGATGACTTTCATAGGAGTAAGACAAGGTTAGTTAGAGAGAGAGCTTTTGAAGTTATAGTGAGGCCATATTATTAGTGATATAGTCGATGACTACTTTTGTTTATTTGTATAAATGTTATTTAACTACAACTTAGGATTTAATATAGTGCACTTATCAAATTGTTGTACATATACTTGTTTAGTTGCTTTAGTTATTTCTACATATATACTTGGTGTATTGTACATATTTAAATGTTGTGAGTATATAATTCTAAGTAGTACTTGTAGTTATGCTGCTTGTAGTTGTGATTCGTTAGTGTGTTACTCATGACAAGTCATTATAATAATAATTTAAGATTAATGTAATTAATATTTTATGATATCACTATAATTTTTTATATTAATGTGTTTATTATATTATATAATCAATAAAATTTTAATTTTAATTTATAAAATTTGTATAAGAAATTTTTTAGAAAGAATTTTCTATATATCCTTTATATTAATAGAAAAAATATAAATTAATTTGGAATTACAATCTCCGGTGTGTCAAGCCTATATTATAGGGTAATACATAAGTGACACTTTAAAGCCACAATAGTGACCTACCGCTTTGACTTTTCCTTTTAATTTATAGATTAAATCTATAAATTTTTTTAAAATTTTAAAATTTGCAGACTTTTTATGCATTAAAAACTTTAAATTCAATGATTAAATCGTTGAAATTTGATATAAAACATGAGTTATTGAGTTAAATAAGTCTAAGTAAACTTACTCCTAGAATAAGCAGAGCTTTTCTCTCTCTCTCTTTTTTCTCTCTCTATATATATATATAATTGACAAAAATATTCAAATCAAGTTGACAAAAATAAACAACAAAACCGATCAAAACTAATTGAGACTAACAAAATAAATTATACAGATTAACAAATGTCCTAGTTTCTAAATTATATTCAATTACTTTTGTCTTATTTAATGATGTTTTTTAAAAAAATATTTTACTTTTAATATATGACTTTTGAATTGTATTATTTTTTTTACATTTATAATAAAGATAATTTAGAGAAAAAAAATTATAGAAGTAGTATAATTTAATACAAACAATTAATTTTTTTTAATTCATGTAAAATCAGTTTTTTTTTCTTATAATTTATATCAGCTGGAGTATAATCCAACTAATTGAATATTGGCTAAAAACCTATTTTGGTCCTTTATAATAATTGTTTGTTTCAATTTAGTCTCACTCTTATTTTTTGTCTCAATTTGGTCCCTAATAAATTAATTCGTTGCAATGTCGGACTTCCGTCCAAATTATTTAAACAGAGTTAACTGTTGGTCACGTGGATGTCATGTGGATGCCACATGAATGCCACGTAGAAGCATGGTGGATGTCAAATTTTATTAATGCATCTGGAACCAGAACGGCTCATTCTGAAACCAGAACGACCCGTTCTGGTTGCACATGTTGTGTGTTAATTTTGAATTTGAAACGGGTCGTTCCATATGCAAAATTAACACACCACGAGTGTAGCAGAACGGGCCGTTCTGAAACCAAAACAGGTCGTTCTGGTTTTAGAATGGGCCGTTCTAAAATGCCAACCACATACGTGCGTTAAACAAAATGCCGCAATGTGATTCAAAAATTGAAAATAAAAATTCATAACATATCATAAATTCAAAGACAGAAATATGGTTCAAAGACTGAAAATAAAAATTCATAACATAACATAACATATACTAAAAAAGTTCAAAGAAATTACTGAGAAGGGAAATCATTTGGATAACGTTGAATGTGTCAATAATACATCTTATCCACCATATAACACTGAATGGCTGATAGGATATCAGCATTATCTACCTGTACATGTGGTTGTATGGTGAAATGTTGGTCTTGTGTATCCTCTTCCTTTACTTTCAGGTTGTACCTCCTCAAGAACAGGTTGTTGTTGTTAGGGTACATCGGTCAATGACTTCAAGGAAAAATACCATGTCGTTTCATCCTTAATTGTATAGTATCAATTTGGTAGTAAGTGGTTCACTCCAGTTTGACCAACAATGAAATAAAACTTGCTACCATTAGTTATACACTACATTGTCCTTAATGATACATTGTATAGCCCAAATGTTTAGCAATTGAAGTTATCAATCCCCATTAACAATCTTACCAAATCAAGTGTTTGAAATGTTTTGTACCTTGGGTCTCTTTCCTTGCACGATTCACAACCGTGAACTATAATCATCGACTGTTTGTGTTTGACATTCTGGAACCAGAACAGCCCACTCTGGTTGCACTATTGAGACCGTTCCAGGTACAAAATTAACACACCAATAGTGCAACCAGAACGAGTTGTTATGATTTCAGAATGGGCCGTTCTGGTTCCAAATGCATTAATGAAATTTGACATCCACCTATGCATCTACGTAGCATCCACGTGACCAACAATTAACTCCATTTAAATAATTTGGACGGAAGTCCGACATTGCAACCAATTAATTTATTAAGGACCAAATTGAGACAAAAAATAAAAGTGGAACTAAATTAAAACAAACAATTATTATAAGGTACCAAAATTAGGTTTTAGCCTTAAATATTTAATACAACAATAACATAAATGTTGGCATAATTTTGTGAGTTATGCATGTGATGCATGACTGCATCCATTTTGATATTAGCATGAATAAATCGCATCTCAGCCAATTATTATCTCTCACTGATCTGCATGACTGCATCCATTTTGATATTAGCATAAATAAATCACATCTCAGCCTATTATTATCTCTCACTGATCTTGTAGGTCACCATTTTCTCTTTCCATTGCCTCTGGTCCAGATATTTATCGTAGAAGGTGACTTCTTTGTTTGACTTCACAAACAAGGCAGAAGAGCTCCTAGTTCCATAATGCCCCTGAGCATAAAGAGAGTTTTCAGCTTCACACATGCAAATAATTAAAGGCCAAACAGATAAATAAGTGGAAATAACGTGTTAGTTACCGATGAAAGTTGTGCATCAACAAATATAGAACTCAAAGGGTATTCCCGTTCTGGAGGCTGAATCCCAGGTAGCATACACTCCTCATCTTTGACTGTGTTTGTCATTAGTTTCTCAACCATCTCTTTAAATGGAAGATCACTTTCACCATATTGATCAATAAATTCTTTGAAATTATAGCGCAGCCGTTCAGCCTGAAAATGTTGTGCCAAAATTCAGCAAGTATTATTACTAGCACTGTTGCACACGTGTAGAGACTTTATGAAGGAAAATTGAAATTTTATAATCAAACTAGAGCATTTCCTTTTTCATTTTATTTTATTCTCTTAAATTTATGATAAATTTATTTTTGTCTTTCAAATTTAAAATAATTATTTTTAGTTTGTATAATTTTTTAAAATTTTGTTTTAGTTCTCGAAATTATTAATAATATATCTAAAAATGACAGATTGAAACACTTATATGCATCATTATTTGAGTTTAATCTGATATTTTTATTAACAAAAACATCAATAAGTAAATTATATATGACAGTATTTAATAGATTCTCTAATAAAATTTGATTATAAGAACTAAAACAAAATTTTTTGACATTACAGAAATTTAAAAGATAAATTTTAAATTTTAGTGATTATAAATAAATTTATCTTTGAGAATCATAACATTTTTTTTTTTCATGTTCTGCATAAAAAGAGCAATTGCGTGTGATGAATAGAATATATATGTATGAGGAATGTTTGTTACCTTTGGCCAAGGGGCGTCGAGGGCTGCATTAGTCAAGACGTGAATTCCAGGGGTAACTTGTGCAACAGAAAGATGATGTTGTTTTGGTCTATTGAAGACGTAAACCATGGTGGAGCTACAAATATCAGCCAATATAAGGTTAAAGCCATTATACTGGTGCGCCTCTTTCACAACTTCCTCTGCAAACTCCAGGGTACTCTTCTTGCTCTGTTGCGTCGTATAAAACAATGCAGTTAAAAGTGTGTTGGCAACAATCCAATAAATGGCAAGAAACAAATCCACAAACAGGTGGAGTGCGTGATACCTGGAGGAACCTAAGGGGCAGGTCTCCTCTGGTCTTGGGATGCGGAAGGTTCTCGACTTCCCTAAAATTGGTGAGAAACGCGATCCTGCCATCTTTGGTGGAACCCAGCCACGTTCCTCCGCCGAGACCGTCCCTACCACCTAACACCGTTTCCCCTTCCCACCACGCCAACGCCTCCGTGGGCCTTTCAGGTTTCAGCGCTCAACCAATCAGTAAATTCATCCAAATTCATAATTCTGAAATCCTAATGAAAACTACTCACCGAGAGTAAAATTCGTCCCTGTTGTGCAGCAGAAGGAAGGGGTACTTTGGATGAGTTTGCCACATGAACACTGCGATGCACATGATGTTCGGTAATTTCGTTCCCTTTTGCAATTGCCACTCTTGCCAGTCTTTTTGTTGCTTTGACCGGATCATATTTTGAGACTTGTATATAATCCTCACACCAACAAAGTTATAATTTCTTACTCCAAACTCTATTATGCCGATTCCAATGGTTAATTTAAAGAAATAAGTAAAGTAGATAATTTAATTGATACTAATAAATTTATTTTATTTATATTTTTTTTAAAATTATTCTTATATTATTTACTTTATAATTAATATTTATATATTTTTAATTAATTATAATACATGTTTTATATTTTTTTAATTAATATTTTTTTTTTTGCTTCAAAAAAATATTAATATTTTTTTATTTAATTAGAATGTATGTTCTTTAAAGAACTTAAAATTAATTTATTTTATCAAATTAAGATAATATATTTTAATTAAAGGTATTTTAATTTAAAAATAATTAATATATGAAATAATATAAATTAGATCTTAAATAAAGGAACAAACAATTATTTTAAGTTGAGTCTTATAAATATAAAAGGAGATAGTAATATTTAATAATATTTAGGCTAAATTTCATTATTAGTTCTCATTTTTATCTCATAGAAGTATTGAAATAAAATGAAAATGTGATATAATATAAAATTAAAAGTATAAATTAAATTAAATTTTATTAAATATTAGTTATTGTGTCATTTACTCAATATTAGGTCACAAACGATGACTTTTTTCTTAATATACTATTTTTTTATAATTATTTAAATAACTTAAATGCATTTATATTTGCCTAAATAACTCATTTAGAAATTTAGGTGAGAAATCGGTTATTGGGTAACCGATTTTTCAAAGAGATTTTTGGAAAATTTTGAAAAATCCCTTTGAGAAATCGGTTATCCAGTAACCGATTTCTCACTTGGGTTTTTTTTTCTCGTTTTTTTGTTTTCAGATTTTGTAAAATAAAAAAAAAATTATTCACTTTTTGATTTTCAAATTTTTTTTAAAAGTATAATTAATTTTAATAAAATATATTTAATATTTAAATTAAATAATTTATAAAAGATAATAATTAATAATAAAATTAATATTATATTTATTTATAAATTATAATATTTTTTTTAATTTTTTTAAAATAAATATAGTTAATTATAATTTTCAGAATTATATATAAAATTATAAAATTTTGTATAATATTTTAAAAAAGTGTTAAAAATAAATAAAATGTTAAAACTTATTTATTATACTAAATTTTAGAATTATAAAATGAATTTTATTATTTAAATTAAATTTATTAAATATAGAAAATTAAAAACTGTAATATAATAATAAATATATATTAAGTACACTAATTTTAACGGTTACATCATTAAAATGAAAATAAGTTAAAAAAAAGACACAATTTAAACAAACTTCAAACATAATAAATAAATAACATAAAACTTAAATCATATAACATTAGTTGTCTAACTTCATTGCTTGGTCAAGATATTTTTCAATCGCTTCCATCCCATGCAATAATCCAATATACGTCGTGGTAGTATACAATTATAGACTTGTTAGGTCGTGCAGTTCTGTGAACAATGAAAACATACACTCCACATCTTCATCATCCCTAAGACAACACGCCGTATATTTATATACACCACCGATACATGAATTTGGGTATCGGTAGTGAATATCTATGACAACTTTGTAATGAGGAAGATTAAGGTTATTATTAATAACCTGCTTAAGTTGCTCATAAGTCATCATGTTGCTTACCAGTAGGGTTTTAACCTCGTTGCTAACAAATGTATCTCCATGCTCAGTGGAGACAATTTGTCCATCATAGTAAACAGTAGCTGGAACAGTTAACGACTCCATTGATTAAATGTTTCAATCTGTTGCATTTTTTTAGCCTGTTTATGGTTTGATATCCTTGACTCGGGAGTGAGCGTCGTTTCTAGCTCATGGGCGAGTGTGATTAATAATGAGTCGTAATGCTTTACCAGGTATTTAAGAGGTAAATTTCATGTTTGGTGTAAGCTAAATAATGGTGGGCGAGATGTTATCGTGGTTATTGTTTAGCCTTAGGCGAGTGATAAAGCCTGAGAATGTTTTCTTACCTTATCTTGACCAGGTATTTAAGCTCGGAGAGGTTGTAGCATTCATCCTTAACTGAGTGAGGGTACTCGGGAGGGTTTATTTTATCAATCTTGACCAAGCGTTTGAGCTTGAGAGAGATTGTAGTATTCGTCCTTAGCCGAGTGAGGGTACTCGGGAGGGTTAATTTATCAACCTTGACCAAGCATTTGAGCTTGGGAGAGATTGTAGTATTCGTCCTTAGCCGAGTGAAGGTACTCGGGAGGGTTTACTTAATCAACCTTGTCCAAGTGCTTAACTTGGGAGGGATCGTAGTATTCGTCCTTGGCCGAGTGAGGGTACTCGGGAAGGTTTACTTAATCAACCTTGACCAAGTGCTTGAGCTTGGGAGGGATTCAACTTTACTCTAGACGACTTTATGGATTTTTAAAAATGCACGATAAGCGGTGAATAAAGATTAGTGAAAGATGATTTTCATTAATAGTGGTGCCTCGTTAAAAATCTCCCTGGTAAAACCTCTTTTACATTTTTCTTTTAAGAGGGTAAAACCTGATGTAGGAAAAGAGTGCACCGGTTGATACATTGAAGAGCTTAGCTGTAATAGTGTTTCAAATGGGAGGCGTTCCACGTGCGCTGGATGGTTCTGCCCGTAAGTTCTTTGAGTTTGTACGCTCCATTGTGAAAATTGTGCAATATCCGAAAAGGCCCATCCCAGTTTAATGCTAGTTAACCATGTGTTTGGTTTTTCCTGGCATTTCCCGTGACTCTCCAAACAAAGTCGCCTGGTTGAAACTCTCTTTGTTTAACTTTGGACCTGAACTTCCTAGCCAACCTTGCTTGACAAGCCTCCATGTTGACTAGTGCTCGGTCTCTTATCTCGTCAATTAGGTCCAACTTCACACTCAGCGCTTCTTCGTTTCTTTCTTTCCTGAATTGTTGTCGTCGAAGTGAGGGTTCCCCCACCTCTACGGCTATCATGGCATCGGTCCCATATGTCATTCTAAAAAGAGTCTCTTTGGTGGATGTTTGTGGTGTACATCAGTATGCCCATAGGAATTTTGGTAACTGTTCGGCCTAGATTCCTTTGGTCTGCCTGAGTCACCTCTTTAGTTCCGTTAAGATGACCTTGTTTGCAGATTCAGCTTGACCATATCTTTAGGGATGTTCAACAAATGTTACCTTTTATTTGACATGCAAACCTTCTAAAAATTTGTTGAAGCGGTGATCTGTGAATTGCAAGCCATTGTCAGTGATCAAGGTGTATGGTATACCAAACCGAGTGATTATATTTTTCCATACAATCTTTTGAGCATTATTAGCCGAGATGGTGGCTAAGGGTTGTGCCTCTATCCACTTAGTGAAATGATCTACTGCCACGAGGAGGAACTTGACCTGTCTCTTGGCAAGAGAAATGGTCCTAGGATATCCATCCCCCAAATTGTGAAAGGCCATGGTGTAGTGATGAAGTGCAGCTCGTTTGCCGACTGATGTATGAGAGGTCCGTGTTGTTGGCACGGTTAACATTTTTGAACGAACTTGGTGCAATCTTCAATTAGGGTGGGCCAATAGTATATGGCATGTAGGACCTTTGCTTCCATAGTGCGACCTCTTGAATGGGTTCCGCATATGCTCTCATGTATTTCCCTAAGGACATATTGGACTTGTTTTGGTGTGAGACATTTAAGGAGCGGGGTTGAAATGCCCATTTTATACATATCACCTTATATCAGGGTGTACCTTGCTGCTCAGGTTCGTACCTTTTTCTCCTCCACAAGATCTGCCAGCAAGCGACTTGTTGAAAGATAGGCAACAATGTCAGTCATCCAATTCCAGGGTGCTGGTTGTGCTTGTGAGCAATCATGTTCTGTGATGCTCGGGACTGGTACTTCTTGCTGGATTACACTACGCAACTGACTTACCCTTTTGCTATTGGCTAGCCTTGCTAATTGGTCAGCTCTTTTGTTGAGTTCTCTAGGAGTGTGATGTATTTGGACTTCTTCAAAATTCGATTTGGCCTTCTGAAAGGCATGATAGTATCGTAGTAGAGTGGGTTCTTTCACCTGAAATGTGCCATTTATCTGTTCCGTCACAATTTGGGAATCGCTCCAATAATTGATTCTCATCACTCCTAACTCTTTGGCCAGATGCAGACCGGCGAGTAGCACCTTGTACTCAGCTTGATTATTGGAAGTTTTGAACCCGAACCGAAGTGATTGTTCCAAAACTATGTTGCCTGGTCCTTCTAGGATGATTCCTGCTCCATTGCCTTACTGATTGGATGACCCATCCACATGTAGCGCCCAACTATCTACCAGCGATGTTCCTTTTGGGTGAAATTCATTAAGGAAATCGGCCAGGCTTTGAGCCTTTATGGGCCCTCTTGTTTCAAATCGGATGCAAAACTGAGATAGCTCTATCGACCAAGCTACCATTCTACCCGCCAGCTCAGGTTTGCGTAGGACTTTGGCTATTGGGCTATCAATTCTGACTACAATTTTATGGCTATGGAAATAGTGGCATAGATGACAGGCCTTTTGAATCAAAGCCAGAGTAGCTTTTTCAAGGAGTTGGTATCGGGTTTCGGCTTCTTGAAAGGCCCTATTGATGAAGGATTTGTTCCCCTTTCTCTTGCACCAAAACGGCACTAACAGCCTTGTCTGAAACAGAGATGTAGATGATTAGGTCTAAATGAGGGTCAGGCTTAGCTAGGAGTGGTGGTGTGGCAAGCATAGTTTTGAACTCTTGGAATGCTGACTCGCATTCCTCGCTCTAGTGGAATTTGTGGGCTTTTTTCAATAACTCTATAATAGGCCGCGATTTGTCAGCCATTCGAGGTAGAAAGCATGCCAACGATGTTATTCGCTGAACCTCTTTCACATTGCGTGGGCTTCTCATATCGATGACGACCTGACATTTATCAGGATTGGCTTGTATCCTTCTTTTCGAAAGCATAAAGCCAAGGAACTTGCCCCCAGCGACTCTAAAGGTGCATTTGGTTGGGTTCAAACGCATGCGGTGTTTTCTTATCTCATC